TTTGATGGGAGATGAGCATAGACTGTAGGCAAATAAGAAAAAGGGAACGGTTCTATGAGAGAACATGTCGCCGGTGAGACGCAAGTCCAGGAAGAACGGAATAAGGTAGAAACAAAAAAAATTTCCTGATGAAAGAAGAGAGTCTACTCTTTCTTTTGGTGTGTTCGGTGTTTACATAGTCATAGCACAAACTATTCTGTGGCTCTAGAAAAATCAGTCAAAATGCTCAAAAAACTCTGGCAGTATGGGACTCTCTGTTCTGAAAATGTCTGGCAGTCAATGAGTTAAAGTACTTCTGTTTCTGATTCTGATCTATAACAATATGTTGCAAGAATAATGTGTCCGAAACAAGTTAACTAAAAAGGGGAAACTTAATTTAGTACTTTCTGCTTTAAAAGCAGTCCAAGCTAACCCAGGAGGACAGAATAATGGTGATAATAATGACACTGACCCAGCTCAGAGATGACCTCCTCGATGCTGACCTTACTCCGGTCCATCAGGTCTCTCACTCTGTGCAGACGCTCACAGAAAGGCTTCTCGGCCTCCTTCAGTCTGGAGAAACACACAGAGAAATAAATGTTTATGTTTATGTTTTTATGCATTTGGCAGATGCTTTAATCCAAAGCGACTTACAGAGTAGACACAATATTCCATTTCTCATCACTATGACAATAAGCTATCCAGAGGAGAAACACTGATCAGAGTCAGTGGTGAGATAGAGCAGTGTTTTTCAACCTTTTTTGAGCCAAGGTACATTTTTTCCTTGAAAAAATCTCGAGGCACACCACCAACCAAAAATGTCAAACAAATCTGTAGCCGCCTATAGTAACACTATAGTTATTCTTATTTTATTCTTATCTTATCTTAAGTGTCTTGAATAGGAATCAAATAAACAAAAATGTATTTTTATCATATTTTATATTTCTTCTTTCAAATTGCACTTAACATGTCCACTTCAATACACAAAATTAAATACAAATCTAGTCATAAGGAATTATTACATGATTACTCCACCAGTCACTAGAACAGCACACACACTCAGAAATGGCATATTATTTGCAGATAATTAAGTCTTTATCAAAAAGTCTTTTTAGACCAATGAGGTGAAATAGGATGATTTTCTACGGCACACCTGACCATCACTAACAGCACACTAGTGTACCGAGGCACAGTGGTTGAAAAACACAGATAGAGATAGAGGTAGAGGGACTACAGGAGGAGCTGTGGGGGGTAAATAAAGGTAAACTTTAGCTCCTCCTCCCTCCCTGGACGGGGGCTCACATGCGGGCGTCGTTTCGAGCCGCCTCGCTGCTCTCCACCTCCTCCATCTCCGCGATGAGGCGGCCGATGAACTGCTGGGGCAGGTCTAGCGCCCCCTGCAGGGCCAGGTGCACGGCCAGGGCCTGCAGCACCGCGCCGTTGTAGCCCAGAGAGCAGGAGTGGGTGAGCAGCGCCCCCAGGTGGGAAAACTGCAGCACAACAGGGCAGGAGGCAAGTTTAGGGCACTGGATGGAGGTTTATTACACCAGAAAATACAGCAGAAAATCTATATGGAGTTTAAAAATACAGTAGAACCTCTATAACAGAGTTTAAATAGTTCCAGGAGAGACTTCTGTGTTAAATATTGGTGTTTTGGTTCAAATCTTCCATCAGAATACTCTGTAATTCCTAGAATTGGTTAGATAGATAGATAGATAGATAGATAGATAGATAGATAGATAGATAGATAGATAGATAGATGGAGTGGGTCAGCAGCGCCCCCAGGTGGGAAAACTGCAGCACAACAGGGCAGGAGGCAAGTTTAGGGCACTGGATGGAGGTTTATTACACCAGAAAATACAGCAGAACCTCTATAACGGAGTCAGACGCTTTTATCTACTAAAAAGTAAATCCAGCAGAACATCTATAACAGAGTTTAAATAGTTCCAGGAGAGACTTCTGTGTTAAATATTGGTTTGTTGGTTCAAATCTTCCATCAGAATACTCTGTAATTCCTAGAATTGGTTCCAAAAACCTACGATAACTCCTTAATAAATACTGCAGATAATTACACATAGCAAGAAAATTCCTAATTCCTAGAATTGGTTAGATAGATAGATAGATAGATAGATAGATAGATAGATAGATAGATAGATAGATAGATAGATAGATAGATAGATAGATAGATAGATCAGAGACTGAAGAACGGAGGTAGAGGTGGAGACTGAGATACAGGACCAGCCCTAACTCACTCTGACTTTATACAGGAACTATAAACCAACTTAACTTAGTTTTATTTAATTTAGACTAGTTATTTTGTTTTACTATGACTTCAATGTCGTATGTTGAAAAATTTCCTTTGGGTGTTGAGTCTTGTTTTTGATCGAATTTCACTTCTTATGTTGGAAAATTCGTATGTTTAGGCAAAAGTAAGTACTGGTTAAAAAAACGAGCCCTCTCACCCGTTTAACGTCGGCTAATTTGGGGAAAGCTAACGCGAAAGGCAAATATTTGATCGAATTTCACTTCCTATATTTGGAAATTCGTATATTTAGCCAATAGTAAGCAGAGTTTCTGCTGTAGTTTCTGTTTGTGAGTTACTTATTGGTAGTTTGTCGTATTTTTGATCGAATTTCACTTCCTATATTGGGAAATTTGTATATTTAGCCAATAATAATCAGAGGTTCTGCTGAACAACAAAAACGAGCCCTCTCACCCGTTTAACGTCGGCTAATTTGGGGAAGGCTAACGCGAAAGGCGAATATTTGATCG